CATATTTTCTCAAGGAGCACTAACTAAGCATCAACCATGGGCAAGCACTACAGTAGGGCCTTTCTCTTCTACCTCGCCACTTGGAGTACATGAAACTGAAACAGATTTATTCCTCTTCACAGAAGATGAAATGAAGCTCAAAAAGGTTAACTGAAGCCAAGCTTGCCAGCCAATAAGTGAAGGAACAGAGGACTTCTGATGCCATGTATTAAAATGCCTTTTCTATTAGACCACAAGCTGCAACTTGCCATATTTGTTCTTATACCCCTTACTATAAGGAAATTAAGGGAATGAGCCACATTTCATTTATACTGACAGCCTCTGGAGCACCCGGTAAATGGCCTCACACGTGGTCAATTCTCATTGGGTTTCTGTTGCCTGAGAGAACAAACATGCATGTTGCGGGTACACAGGCCTCACTAATAGTGAGCGTTTGTGGGCTGGTAAGTTTTGAGTACTCATTTCCAAGGCAGATGTAACTTAACAAAAAGTTCTAAAAACAAATTCTGTACTTGTGAAAGATGCCACCTGGTCCGCCTCAGGGCTGAAGTCCTCTTTTTATGCACCAAGTGGGAACAGCGCAGGGAATGAGGAAGCTGGTTGTCTTCAAGCCACTCCCACAAAGTGGCTCAAGCCAAGAAAAGGGCCCACACCTTTCGGAAAAGAGTGCTACGCAGACTCCTATGCCCATATAACCTTTGGTTTCACTACTACAACTGCCAACAGTCTGGGGAAGAGGGAAAGGTAGAGCATGTTTCACGCCAGCTCTGATGATGTAACCTTAAAACTCACAGCTTTTCTGCCAGGAAAAAAAAAGCAACTGGTTTAGAAACTATTTTTTCCCCTTTTCTAATATTCAACCAAAATTTAATTTGCATCACTGACTACTAGCTTTTTTTTTTTTTTTTTTTTTTTGTATAACTCACCAGGCCTTTTTTTTTTTTTTAAATGAACAGAACTTAGTGTCTAATTCAACTGATTGGTTTTGCTCCCTTGGAAAACAAATGTATAGGGCCAGAAATATGTTTATTTCATAAATGTCCCTTGTGCAAGAACACAAACGTTCTTCTCAGAAACACTTACTCTGCAAGCCATAGAAATGCACAGTGGGGGACTGGGAAGAATATGCATCTAAGCAGCATAAGGGCAGCAGTCATGTGCGGCAGGGCTGCCAGAGACACCAGACAACTATTCCAGGACCCTGGGCAAACAGACTTCAGAGTGCAATCACATTTCAGAGCTTCATCAAATTAGAATACATTTGGGAATACATTAGAATACAATGAATCTGACAGATGTTCTCTATTGTCAGGAATGTCTAATTTGGAGTCTTTTTAGGGTATAACAAATTGATATCTTCTCCTACATAAGATAACAAGACCCAAGAGTAGCCTTTTTCCTTTCCTATTGCTGGGACTAATTAGTGTGAGTATAATATCTTTGCCTACTGCACCGACGAGCTGGAACAGAGAGACAGACTGGAATGGGGCTCCTTCCAGGCCCATATCTTTCTATGCCCATGGTGGAGGTGGTGGGAATGCAAGCCTTCTCTTGATAATTTTTACCCAGTGTGGATGGGGCTGTTGGTCTCCCCTGAGCCACTCCCTGTCAAATGTACTGCATGGGGCTTGGGACTTCCTAGAAGAGCCATAGCAGAAGCCAAAAAGACTACAAACCTCAGCTAGGGCAAGAGTCTGACATCAGCTTTGGGCGGGACCACATGGGATGCTTTTCCCATGACTCCTGAAAGGACTCACCACATCTGAGTCTATAATCAATGCTTGGATAGCGAAGAGTTGACAAGATAGTATAAAACACAAAAAACAAATGAGAGCTTAGCACAGTCCATTCTCAAAACCTATCCCATGACTATGGCCTTCCTATGAACTCTGGAAGAATTAACCAAAAGTATTAATAACTTTAGCAAATATCTAAGCCCTTACAGAAATCATACCCCAAGTTTACTTCTTTCATGTTCCTCTTTCTCTAAAATCTCATTTTGAAAACTTCTACTTAAAGATGTAAGAATGTTTGGTATTTTGTTTTGGTATTATAGATATAGTTCTACCAAGTGAATTTGTATCAACCAGGAAAAGTATAAGACCTATCAGTGAGGCATTTTCCAATATTTTGGTGAGAACTACTTATTAACCTAGAAGACTGCCAATTAGGCAATCGATAACTGTGCATTGCATTTATGCAAGGCATTAAAGAAGACTTGTTCCTCACCTCAATGAGTAGCTTGCAATTCAGCAAAATATTTTTAAAAATCCATATCAACAATTAACACTATGGTGAGTAAATTATAATATAGATTATAATATTAATATAAATTCAGTGAGAGCTCCAGGGAAGGCTAGACTAATCGTCCTCAGGGAAAATGGTTAGTAGAGAGGCATCTGAATAAGGCCTTAGAAAAAGTATAGTATCTCAACAGGAAGAGGGGGTTAGGGAAAGGCCCTGTATGTGGAAGGAAGAGCTTTAGCAAAGGCAAGAGAGTGCTGGCAATGTAAAAAAACTTCAAGTGCTCAGGTCTGGCTGAAGAAAACAGTATATGAGGGGAAGTAACAGAAAAATGATCTAGAACGATATGCTGTGGGGAGCTCTTAATATAAAGAGGGAGGAAAAACATGAGAAACCTGGACTTCAGAGATAGGAAAAATTATTTTTAAAATATACCCTTCCCCAATCATTTCCCACACGTCTTAGATTTTTAGAGTGAGAATATTTTATTAGCAAGTTTATCTGCAAATTAGGTGTAGTAACTTCCAAGAAAAACAACCTAGCTGCTGGAACAAACGCTTTTCTGAGCTGGCAAATTATTGCCTGCAGCTTAACTAATATATTCATATTACCCACATCTTGCAATTGTTACATTAACTCTTTTCTCATCACCAAAGCACCTTTGTAATTTAACTCATTAGTTACACAATGAGTGGCTATGCTAGAATTAGTACTTGCTCCCTTATTTACCCATCCTCTCCTTTTCTGCCCCAACTCATCCCTGCTAAACACTCACTTGTTCTTCTCCTGTGAACTATATCAATAATAGTATCATTCAAGGCTACTACTTGCTGAGTGTTTGCTATAGTGCCAGGCACTATGATTAATGCTTTATGAACAGTATTAATATAATCCTGAAAACAACACTATAAAATGGGTAACAAGCTCAGAGAAGTCATATTTTGTGCCAGCTGGTGAGTGGCAGGAACCAGGATTAAACCAGATTTGTTTGACTCAACGCCCTTGCCTTATGCCGCGTCATTCTACTGCCTCTGGTACCCATTGATCGCTTACTAATATGGGTCAGCATTTTCATTTAAAAAAATAATAAAACATTCTTTGGGCCAGGCACAGTGGCTCATGCCTGTAATCCCAGTACTTTGGGAGGCTGAGGCAGGTGGATTACCTGAAGTCAGAATTTTGAGACCAGCAGGGCTAACATGGCAAAACTCTGTGTCTACTAAAAATAAAAGAAATTAGCCAAGTGTGGTGGCTTGTGCCTGTAGTTCCAGCTACTTGGGTGGCTAAAACCCAAGAATCACTTGAACCCAGAAGGTGGAGGTTGCAGTGAGCCAAGATTGTACCACTGCACCACAGTCTGGGGGACAGAGAGAGATTCCGTCCAAAAAAAAAAAAAAAAAAGAAAGATAAAACATTCTTTGGGAGGCTAAGGCAGGAGAATCACTTGAGCCCAGGAGTTCGAGACAGCCTGGGCAACATAGCGAGACCCTGTCTCTACAAAAATAAAAATAAAAATAAAAAAAATTAGCCATGCATGGTGGCACCTGGAATCTTAGCCACTTGGGAGGGTGAGGTAGGATAATCACTTGAGCTCAGGAGGTTGAGGCTGCAGTGAGCCATAAGCAGGCCGCTACACTCCAGCCTAGGCGACAGAGTGAGACCCTGTCTCAAAACAAAAATTAAACATTCATTAAGTGCCTGCTACTGTAAAATCCTATTCTAGGTGCTGTGTCAGATACACAAACAAGAGAATGCCTATAGATTACTGATGTTCATAAGCTCCTGTATTTGAGTATAAACAGCTGTATGATATCAGTTTTTAAGATCATGTGTCCATGATTCACAAATTAGAGCAACCAAAGTCAGAAGGGGTAAAAATGGCTCAGTATTTTTACTAAGAATGCTAGATAGTGACCACATCTACTCACAGACAGAAATCAGCCAACTGTGACTAAATGACTCACAGAGAAGTTTAATAATACATTTCAATCAGAGTCTGTAAAAACTCTCTTTGCTGATGAAAAATCTGTCCTGTCAGAAGTTCCCAACCAAATCTGCTTATAATCCATTTTCAATGAACCTCAGCTTCCTTTGAAGTGGAATAAGCTACTAAAGCATTTAGCCCACAAAAAGCACTCTGTGAATCCAGGCCTTATAAAATTCATTACTGATGAATAAAGTTACTTGGTTAGAACACAAATGCGATATTGAACTACTTCTGCCATGTAGCCTGAATGTTGTGTAAAATTATATACAGCTGTTTTAAAGCAGCAAAATAAAACAGGTTATCATTTTAAACGACCTACTTTTAACATTAGCTTTACTAACTTCTGAGTAAGTTTTTGCTAAATATTTTAAAGAGACTAGTTATGTTTTACAAATATCACTAATAGTTACAAATATGTAAGAAACTGGGCCAGATGTTTAGCAGCCCGTCATAGGCTACAACCATTCATACTCAAGGGAACATCTGGAGGGAGTCCCAGTTTTGGACTCAGCCTGTCTATTCTTCTCTCAACAAAGGTACAGCAATATTGATGTCACTAACTGCATAGTAACACTCACCAAAAGAGTGTAGTGGCAAGTACTAACTGCATTTACTCTGCAATCCAATTTCTTAATACAATGAATCTTTTAAGGAAACAAAAGTCAATGAAGAGAAATAAATTTAAGAGTTTAAGAGTGGCAAAGGAAAGAATGAGACATATTGGTTAGCAAGAAGTAGCACCAGGCTACCTAATGTTAATGACACTTACTGCTCAATTCGAGGTGACAAGTACAGCTTGGGGTACACCTGGGTGGCTTCAGTGTCCTCGAAACTAACAGAGAGGAGGGCCACATCTTCGCCAGGGTCTTCATTTACATCCTTAAACAAGAAGTGAAAACACAACATCAGCACCTGCTCTCCTAACATCTTATCAGTAACAAGCTCACAGTCCACGGGCATTGAAGCCATGACTATGAGTTACCCTTATTCCACTTTTGGTTAGCTGCTTAGCACATCCTTTCCACACACCTATGCACTCCTCTAGAGGGATGGCTTTTAAACTTTCTGAGCAACATCCACCACAGCAAAGCAAAAGACCTCCACCTATCTCACTTGTTCCCACATTCAGGGGGTGGGAGGCGGGTAGTGAACCTGATGGTAACAAAGAATTCGGCAAAAATATAATTAAGTTGCAGTAAACATATTACTATAAACATAATTTATATTGTAAAACATCAAAAAACATTAAAATATCCAGTTATTTTCTTACCTCTACCTTTACAGTGTGTTGTAAGTTATTTAAATAGCAAAATTTCCCAGGAAACATGTCACCATGAAGTGTGTCACCATACAAGCAAATGGCAAGGGGGTTAGGTACACATCTACTTTGGCAAAATGATATTGGATGATCCTCTTATGAACCACAAGACATACATATCTTAAAAGTCTAGTTATAAGAACACTATAAGACAAAACATTATTAATACAAGTAGGTACCAACAAACACTGTGAGGTTAACCAAATAACACACAATAAACTAAATTGATAATGATAAAACTAAATTTATTGTAATTTATAATTAAAAAGCAAGAATAGCAGCAACTGAATATTATAACCAACTCAAGCCAACACTGATGATACACTGATGAAGTGTCCTGAATCAAAATTGTGGAATTTATAACTATGTGCATGTGCTTTATGAGTATTGCCAAGCACCAACTGTCTGCCAGACTTCTGAATAAAATACTGAATTAAAATAAATCTAGTAGCACACATTGATTTAAATTTGTGAATACCAAATTTTAATAACCCTTAATAATTTATTTTTGATTGGTAGTGACTCCAAGTCAAATATAAAAATTTTAAACACTTAATTACTAACCACTTAATACATGTTAAACACTTAACATCTTTCACTCATAGAAACTGGTAAGAACGAACCTATATAAATATTTCACTTATTTATTTATTTATTGAGATGGAGTCTTGCTTTGTTGCCAGGCTGGAGTGCAGTGGTGTGATCTCGGCTCACTGCAACCTCTGTCCCCCCAGGTTCAAGCATTCTCCTGCCTCACACTCCTATAGGCGCACACCACTACACCCAGCTAATTTTTGTATTTTTAGTACAGATGGGGTTTTACCATGTTGGCCAGGATGGTCTTGATCTCTTGACCTCGTGATCTCCCTGCCTTGGCCTCCCAAAGTGCTGGGCTTACAGGCATGAGCCACTGTGCCTGGCCAAAAGAGACCTGTATTTCTGAATCAGTTTATAGATCCTCAGGAGGGTACAGTGGCCACACCAGCAGCAAAAGAGGGAGGGGTCACACCTAGACTTTAAGACTCACTACTCATGAGCTTGACATTGTATCTTGAACCTCAAATACAACGTCTTTCGTCTGTCTAAAACTCCCTCCACCCTTTCTTTTCCTTCATCCTGGGAAGCTGGCCATCACTCATCCTGCTCAACTCCAAAACCTTCAGTCTCCTTGCTCTGCATTCTCTTGTGCCTGTAAAATGCACAAATGTGACATGTATACACAGGGACAACGACTACAAGTCTCTCCAATCTTAAAAAAGAAACATTATTAAAAGAAAGAAAAGAATCTTGCCGAACTCTGCAGAGCTCCCTGGATTCTCTCTCCTCTCCCTTCTCCCCTTCACAGACTACTTGGAAGAGTTATCTACATACTCTCTCTATTCCCTTCCCTTCCACTTATCCCTTAGCCCACAACAATAGCCTACTACTGACTCCATGAGTTCATGAAGACTATTCCCACCAAGGGTACTCACTAAAAACACCAAATGCTTTTCTTCCTTCTTCTTACTTGATACCTAAACAGTATTTGATATGGGTGACTACTTGCCTCTCGAAATGCTGTTTTCTTGCTGGTCTTCTCCTGTCTCTTTGGCCACTTCCCTTTCCATTTTCTTTCTTTTTAAAAAAATTTTAGATTATAAAATTTAGGCTTGTCTTAAAAAGTCAAACCATACATAAGTTTATAAAGAAAAAGCTCTTCCGCCCCTCCCTCACACCCTACTTTTCAAAGTAACCAATATTAACTGTGTACGTAGGTAGCTTCAAACCACTTTCTTTATGCTCATAAAAACATACACACACTTGCATATAAACAGCTCTTTAGCCTTCTGTTTTGTTTTCCCTAATGGAAACATATCACTCAACCAATTGCTTTTTAAATAGCTACATAATATTCCATGGCATGAATTTATTTTTTTATTAAACCATTTCCCTCACAACAAACTTTAGGTTGTTCACAATTCTTAGCCACTTGATAGTGCTGCAATAAATATTCTTTTGTGTGTGTGTCTGTGTGTGTGTGTACATGCACGCACGCACCTGTTAGTAGTGGGACTTATATTTTTTATTAGAGAACTAAAATTGAGCTTGTTGGGTCAAAGGTTATGAACATTTTACATTTCAATAAAATTTGACAGATTATTTTCTAAGAATTTTGCAGCAACTCACATTTGGACCCATGAGTTTGTATGAGTATAAGCCTACTTTCCCTCATCCTGAATCACTGGATAACAATGGCTATTGTCCCTCTTTTTAAAATCTGGAAAATGGTATCTCCACTTAGATTCGATGAATGAGGCTGAGCAACTTTTACTTATTTACTGGTCATCTACATTTCTTTTGTAAATTTCCTGATCAAATCCATTATCCATCCTGTTTTAAGGTTCTTAGTCTTTGTTGTTGTTGTTATTAGGTTTCTTAACCCTTTTCTGTCACATATGCTAAAATTATTTTCTCTTTTTGACTTTTTACTTCATCTGAGGGCTCTTCTGCCAACACAGAAAATTTAGATTTTTGCAGAGTTAAGTCCTGTCAATAACTCTGAGGTTCCATAACTATTTCTCTAGTTTTTCATCTTATATTGTTATAATTTTATTTTTACATGGTAGATTTGTAATACCTCTGGAATATATTTTTAGGTGGCATGATATAAGAAGTGGAGCTTTCTTTGTCTTGTTCTGTTTCTAACTGGGTGAGGAGGGGGACGAGTAACAGCAAGATCTTAGCATAGCACCTGGTATATGGAAACCACTCAATTCGATGTTAGCTGAATGAATACATCAGTGAACAAATGAGTGTTCATTCCTAACTCTTATTCTCCACATCTAGAGATTTTTCAGGAACCTACTTTACAATATGTTTTGTCACCAATGATGTCTGGAAACTAAATGCTGGCTCCTGGCTCCTGGCCTTGTGAATACACCAACTCCTCCAGAACTAGTAGCTTCAAAAGGACAGCCCAGGTCAGGAGTCTGAGCTTATTGATCACTTCTTGCTCTTTTACAGATGATAAAGTATTCAACCTTGAACTTTCCTTTCTGTAAAATGCGAATGAAAGTTGTAAAAAATACTTAGGGTCTGCAACAAACAGAAACTACTGTTGAGCATATAATATGACTTTAAAACTCATACAACATCTAAAACAAAGGTTAAAGCTGAGCTTGAAGAAACATTCATAGGAACAAATTCATTTTATTATCTAAGTGTAGAAGGGTCCTATTTAGAGTTAGATTGGTCACCTTAAAAAAGACAATTGAAAAAGAAATAACATTTACTTTCAGAAACCTTTCCCCAATGACTAAGTTTTCTTACGTAAGATCAAGGCTAGAGACTATGATCACAAATCATATAACCTTGCAAAAACACCCTGCAAAAAACCAGGAGCCACCAAAATCCTTTATAATTGAGGGCTTTATTCTGTATGACTATGGAAAATTTATATTTCCAACTTTTAAAATTTCTATTTCACTACTATTTCAATAAAGGGCAGGAATGCTTGGAGGCAATCCTCCAAAGAAATGGAATGACCCTGGTTTATATAATCAACATTTATCATCTGGCATCCTGAAAAAAGTACATAAAACATTAGTCTGAATATGAAACTAGTTATTTCTAGGAGTTCGTTTTATAAGTTTTCTTCCTCTTGGTGTGGCACATGAGATTTCCCTGAAATGGTATTTGATTCCTAATGGATATCTAAGTTTGATTTTGAGTGCTTAAACAAGCCCATAGAGTTCCAAAAATACAAATCCACGCAGTGCTGTTTCTGGTTTCTGCAACTCTAACAAGCATGTACATGTGTTCCCTCCCATCTGGGAAATTAGAAAAGAAGCTCTTGTACCATGGTTCTGAGAAGCTAACATTACAGATGATTACTGTAACCACTAATGGCAGCATTTGGAAAACAGGGGGTGGTTATAGCATAGTAGGGGACATTTAAAAATGTCAAAGTATACATTTTCAGGGCTCCCTATCTACACCATTTGAGACTGCAAAAGGCTGAAATGGGAGGAAAGATGCCGAATCTGCTAAAGCTAAAGAAGAATATTGTCTCCTACCTTTACAAAAGTGTGCCAGGCACTGACACACATATCGTGAAGCAATAATGGCCATGATCTTCTGCTGAGATGTAGCAGTGGATCTGGCTCAGCACTTGATTAAAGCCGAAAGGAGTTCCTATGGCTTATAATGAATATTCACTACAGGTGAGTTCCTGGCAGGCTGGGAGATTCTCCTGTTCATTTTTGCACCCCAGTGTCTGGAACATAGTACATACAGAGCAACTGGTTTTAAAAACTGAATTAATACACAGATGACTAAAAGAATGAGTAAATGAATGAAATAAACCACCAAACTAGCCTTTCTAAACAGGAATATTTGGGTTTTAGGATTCATAGTATAAATGATGGAATTAAGTGGAAAATGCTTTCGATAAGAAAGATTCACAGTACTTATCTCTTTAATTCCTTAAGTCTATGACTACTTCAGGTTTTATTTAAAAAAAAAATTCAAGTCTCAACTATGTATTGCCAAGGACATACCTATTAATCAGAGAGAATATTTC